CCACGCGCATCTGGACGACCACCGCCCGCCGCTCATCCCGGTTCCACTGCATGAAGGGTTCGTCGCCGCGGCGACCACATCTTCTCCGACGGGTTACAACACCAACGAGTACCACAAGCCCCCCCCCCAAGCACGATTTCCCCAAGTTCGACGGCACAACACCATATTTGTGGTTGGATCGCTGCCTCGCCTACTTCGAGCTCTACAAAGTGGCGTCACACCATTGGGTGGCCACCGCGGCGCTCTACATCGATGGCCAAGCCGCGCACTAGTCGCAAGCGTTCCGGCAAACGCACCGCAACATCACGTGGGAGCTCTTCACCGCTGCGATCCTGGAGGAATTCGGCTCGGACGAGTTCGGGGTGGTTATGCACAAGCTGCTTCAACTCCGACAGACGGGCACCGTCACCGAGTACCGCGCGACGTTCGACGAACAAATGTACCACCTGCTGGCGCTGGACCCGTCCATCAACACCAAGTCCTCCATCACGCAGTTCTTGATGGGATTGAAGGACGAGCTCCGTGCCGCAGTTCGCCTTCACACGTCGTCGGGCATCACGTGCGCCTTGGTGCTGGCATGGATACAAGAGGAGGAGCTGGGCACGACCAGAGCACGCCCGCGCATAACACCCTTAGGACGGCCTCCACCGACGCCTGCACCACAGCAGCAACCACAAGCCGCGGCACCCGCTCGCGCTCAAGGGGACGAATACACGCGCGAGCAACAACTCTGCGACTTCCGCCACGCCAACAACCTGTGTTTCAAGTGCGACGACCGCTACTCGCGTGAGCACTGCTGCGCACCGCCCGCACAGCTACTCACCATCCACGTCGGGGATCACGGCGAGGTCCTCTCCGACGACACCATTCACGCGCTGGAACTCCTGGACGACCCCGGCCCCAGGCCCCCGCCACCAACTCCGGCCGCAGACGGGCCGGAGTGTTGCCCCCTATCGTCTCAGGCACTCGAAGGCACAGACTCGGCAACAACCATTCGACTGTGTGCCCTGGTGGGAAATCAAGTGATGCTGCTGCTTCTCGACTCCGGCAGCACACACAGCTTTGTGAGCAAAGTCCTTCATCGACCGCCTCGGCCCGACAACCGAGGAGATGCCGCACGTGGACGTGCGCGTTGCCAACGGCGACCATCTCACCTGCAACCGCATCATTCCCGAGCTCAAGTGGTGGATGCATGGGCAGACATTTGCCACGCCCATGCGCAAGCTCGACATCGGCGCGTACGACGGCATTCTGGGCATGGACTGGCTCGCCTAGCACAGTCGACTTGCCACTGGCAAGATAAGTGGGTCAAGTTCACGCACGACGGCGAGGAGGTTATGCTCTGCGGTGCGCCAACCAAGGCCTCTACCACACTCAAGGCGGTCAAGCCCGACGAGCTGCGCAAGATGATTGCGGGCAACGATGTCTGGGCCATGGCCATGGTGGATACGTGCGGGCGCGCTCCGCCGCGGCGACGCAAGTGTGCCAGCCAGACGCCCCTCAACGATCTGCTTGAAAAATTCGCCAACGTCTTCGCAGCTCCACAAGGCCTGCCCCCACACCGCCAGTACGACCACGCTGTCACGTTGGTGGAGGGCGCGGTCCCCATGAACACGCGTCCTTACCGTTACTCGTCGCTCCAGAATGACGAGATCGAGCGGCAAGTCAAGGAAATGCTCGACGCCGGCGTGATCACGCACAGCGTCAGCCCGTATGCAGCCCCGGTGCTCCTGGTCAAGACAAAGGACGGGACGTGGAGATTCTGCGTCGACTACCGTCGTCTGAATGACGCGACGATCAAAAACAAGTTCCCACTGCCGATCATCGATGAGCTCCTCGACGAGCTCGCGGGCACAACTGTCTTCACCAAGCTGGATCTCCGCGCTGGGTACCATCAAATTCGCATGCGCGAAGAGGACAAAGCCAAGACCGCGTTCAAGACTCACCACAGGTATTTCCAGTTCAGGGTCATGCCGTTCGGGCTGGTGAACGCTCCGGTCACCTTCCAATGCCTCATGAATGCTATCTTCAGTAAGTACGTGCGCAAATTCGTGATCATCTTTCTTGATGACATCCTTGTCTTCAGTGAAACGATGGAGGAACACATCGAACATCTTCGGATTGTCTTCGAGCTCCTCCGTGCGCACCAGCTGTTCGTCAAGGAGAGCAAGTGCAGTTTCGCCTGCGACCACATCGACTACCTTGGGCACGTGATCTCCAAGGAGGGCGTCGCCGATGATAAGGAGAATACTCGGGCCATGGAGCAGTGTCCAACACCGACAAACGCCACCGAGCTGCGCGGCTTCCTGGGGCTCACCGGCTACTACCGGAAATTCGTGCTGCACTACGGCATCCTCGCCAAGCCCCTCACGTAGCTCCTCACAAAAAAGGGCTTCACTTGGAGCGAGCAAGCACAAGCAGCGTTCGACACACTCAAGACGGCGATGACGACGACGCCGGTGCTTGCCCTGCCCAACTTCGACAAGTCGTTCTCCATCGGGACCGATGCGTGCGACACTGGCGTCAGGGACATGCTCGTTCAGGAAGGCCACTACATCGTGTTCTTCAGCAAGGCGCTCGGCGTGCGCAACCAGAAGCTCTCGACGTACGAGAAGAAGTTCTTGGTGGTGATGATGGTGATCGACAAGTGGCGCCCCTACTTGCAGCTCGGCCCCTTCGAAATACTCACTGACCACAAGTCGCTCTGCAACCTGGGGGATCAGCACTTGGAGACGGAGTTGCAGTGCAAGGCCATGGCAAAACTTGTCGGGCCGCAATTCCGATTCCAGTATAAGCGCGGACTGGATAACGGCGCCGCCGACGCCCTGTCCCGTGTGGGCAAGCAGCTTGACCTGGATTCAGGAGGTGCTCAACTCCTACTCCACCGACCCGGACGCTCAGGAGCGACTGCGAAAGCTCGCCATCACCAGCCCGAACGAAGACGGCTACGAGCTGCACCACGGCGTCATCCGTCGCAGCGGCCGCCTGTGGATCGGCGCCAACACCGTACTCAGCACCAAGCTCATCGCCGTGCTCCACAACAGCGCGGTCGGCGGCTACTCCACCGCCATGGCAACGTACCAGCGTGTGCGCAAACACTTCGAGTGGCGCGGCCTCAAGCGCGACACCGAGGAATTCGTGCAGCAGTGCATGACGTGCCAGCATGCCAAGCATGATCACTCCAAGACGGCGGGGCTCCTGGCGCCCCTGCCAATTTTGACAGCTCACTGAGAGGAGCTCACGATGGATTTCGTGGAGGGGCTGCTGCCATCGGAAGGCTTCGACACGATCATGGTCGTCGTGGATCGCTTCACCAAGTTTGCCCACTTCATCCCCTTGCGCCACCCCTTCCACGCGCCGCAGGTGGCACGCGTGTTCTGGGACAACGTGGTCAAGCTACACGGCGTGCCGGCATCGATCGTTTCCGACCGCGACAAGGTGTTCACCAGCAATCTCTGGCGGGAGTTGCTCGTCGGCGCCAGCACAAAGTTGCTCTACTCAATAGCCTACCACCCGCAAACGGACGGGCAGAGCGAGCGCGTGAACCAGTGCATGGAGATGTACCTCCGATGCACCGTCCACGACACTCCGTGCAAATGGCGACGCTGGCTGCCCATGGTGGAGTTCTGGTACAACTCCACCTTCCATTCATCGCTCAATTGCATACCGTTCAAGGCGCTATACGGCAAGGAGGCCAACTTGGGAGCGATGACGACCTGGCCTGACGACGCTCCGCCCGGTGACGACATGGACCGGGCAGCGCACAGGGCGCACATCCGCGCACAACTGGAGCGTGCCCAGCAGCGCTTCAAGAAGCAGGCCAACGGCAATCGCAGGGAGCGCCAGTTCCAGGTGGGCGAGAAGGTGCTTCTGAAGCTGCAGCTCTATGTTCAGCAATCCGTCGTCAGCCGCCCCTGCGCCAAGCTCGCCTACAAGTTCTTCGGACCGTACACCGTCATCGAGAAGATCGGGCTCTTGGCGTACAAGCTCGACCTGCCAGCGTCCAGCCGTGTGCACCCGATCTTCCATGTTTCCCAACTGAAGCCATTCACGCCAGACTACACACCGGTGTACGCGGAGCTGCCGCGGGTGCCAGACCTGTCCGTGGCGAGCACGGTACCAACGCGCATCCTGGAGCGACGCATGTTGAAAAGAGGCAACACGGCCATCATGCAGATCAAGGTGCAACGGGGGAACAGCTCACCGCCGGCCACCATCTGGAAAGACTGCGAGGTACTCCGGCAACGCTTTCCAGAATGTCTCATTTGGGAGGACGACGAAGCAAGCACTCAAGAGGAGGCTCACTCTCAAGGGGGAGGATGTCACACCTGGCCACTAGCAAGCACTCAAGAGGAGGCTCACTCTCAAGGGGGAGGATGTCACACCTGGCCACTTGTCCAGTGTGACGTGGCATGGATCAGGCCCTACCTGTAAGTGTGAGCTAGCGAGTGAGAGGAGAGGGTTTAAAAAGAGCCAGCCGTCTGTGGCAGAGGGCATGCGATGTGACAGACTGTAATCCTCACCCAATCCTTCCTCTCTAAGCAAGTTCTTCCTCTCCAAGTCTCTCTCTCTACCTCACCTACTCCTCCGATCCCCTTCCCCCTTCCTGGTTCGTTACAGTACTGTGCAGGTACGCGAGGCTCTTGAGAAAAGTTGGTAATAATGAACTCTGCCTGCCGGGAGATGATGAGCTCTTTCGGCAGGGCGACGCCCAGGAGAGCAATTCCGATCCAGTTACAACAGAAGGAAACACTCCTGACTTTCTTATTCCTCCATCTTGTAACAGACATGATCATCGTTTAATAAAGGTTGCCAAAGTTAAAATAAAAAAAGCAGGGCAAAAAATGAAAGCCAGGAGAAGCTTTGAACTTTATTCGACACAAGGAACCTACAGTTAACAGAAACGGACTGTACACTTGAATGTACATTGCAACGGGAGGGTGAGCCTAAACAAGATGACTAACTCTTCCGGGATTGAGGCCAGGCCGCGGCAGCTCATCCTAGACCTGTGGCTTCATGATCCTCACGGTGGTGTAGAAACGCTTGAAGTCCTTCATCGCTTGTTCCTCGATCTGGATCGAGCGGATGGAGGACGGGGTGTCAGTCTCTGGCTTAAACCAGCGGTTGGGAACGTTGTCCTTCACGCCAACAACCTCTGGCGCTGCGCCCAGGGATGGTATGGCAAAGCCTGATGTCCGGGTTTTCGGACTGTGGGAGACAACGCCGTGGTGCCGTTTCTCCTGCTCAAAAGCCAGTTGGTTTTCAATCAGAGGCTGCACTTTGTTATATTGCTGTAAGAAAATACATATCAATTTAACATTTGGTAACATGAAGTCAACCTGCTGCATCTGTATGTCCCTGAGTGAAGGCCGTGATAGGTTGGGTGAGGTAGCTGAAGATGACCAAGGAGGTGTGCTCTTATCCCCTTCGTGAGCAGGAACAGCACGAGCAGGTGTAACAGATATTGGACTTGAACACGCATCAGGCATAAATGAAGAAAGCCGCAAAAGCCCAGCACTGTCAGGTGAATCCTCGTTGCGGTCTTTTGCTTTCGTCGTCATCAGCTCGTTAGTTTTCGACCTCTGCTCGCTTTGAATATCACGAAGGGAAGCAGGTCCCTTCGTTATCTTAGCTCCACCCCAGGCAGGTCCTTCTTGCTTTGGTGTCACAGGCACAGCAGGAGTAGGCAAGCTTAGCTTTGAGGTGTCATCAAGAGCACCACTCAAAAACAATGACAAGCCACCTTTCTTGTTCTTCTTCTTTGATGAAGTTAGCCGGGAAGCTTTGTCCCCTAATGGACAAAAGATGGCTTTTGTGTTACTCGAAGTGCCATCATCAGATGGTTTGACTGGTTCCTGCTTGAATATATAAATTTATTAATGCTGTTGCTTCATTTAACATAATAGATAAATAAAAGAACACATCCATAATGAACAAAACGATGATTAAAGCAAAGAAACTATAAAGAAATGCCTACATAAATAGGATCAATTTATGTTTGTGACATGTTTTACCCCATTTAAGAAAAAAATCCTCAATTTTACTCCATGTAACAATCATTTGTTAGTTTTTACCCCTTCTGATTTTTGATGCGTCATGACCATGGTCCAGCCACAGTGAGAGGGAAGGGTACGACCCGTCAATCATGAAGTCTGGCGTCAGGATCTTGAGGTTCTCCAGCAGCAAAGACAAGTCCCCGATGCCGCTCCGCCGGCACCTGGGTACCCACCGTCCGACAAGCCGGTGAACAGGTTCACGGGCCTGGTGACCTCAAAGTAGGCGGCGTTCTTGCCAACAACACTCAGGTCAGATCACCAGGATGTTGCCCATAATCAGAGCCAGGCCGCCTCACGAGCTCCGTGCCGTGGGAGCGGCGACATCGATGCAATGGAGGCTGGGGATGGAGACAAGGCACAGCCGGTCATGCCTGCGATGTGGAGGACGGAGCCACAGTCAAGCCGGTGACACTGTCCGTAAAGCCACTCTGAGGTGGCGCCGAGGACGGAGATACGGCCACACCACCAGGGAACTGCGGGAGGCGGCACTCAGCCTCCGCTCACGATGGGGAGTAGGACACGCAGTGGACTACGACGCGGAGTCGCCACCGGATGCCACCACACTTCTCACCACCAGATGCCGCCATCGTAGGCTGCCACGTCCTGGATCAAGTGCATCTGCCTCCAAAGGGAGTCGAATCGACTGCAACAGCCGCCGAAGCTGGTGATCTGGGCAGATAGGAGGGGGAACCAGACCTCACCAGATCTGGGTGGTGGCCTCCGCTCTGCTCCCATGCACTGAACATGGCCTTAGTAGCCTCGCCTCACTGCACGTGTTGTGGTGTTGTGGCTGGGCAGGAACCGCCTTTTCAGCGTCTCCATCCTGTAGGCCCTCACACCGCTTTCCGGCCAACGCCTTTGCAGGTAAACCTCCAGCGGGAGCCCCTTCTTCCCGTCCCGCCAGCACCCAGGATGAGCCCGAGTACAACGTGCCTGGGAACAACAAGAAGGGCAAGCTCTCTGGCACGGCACCGCTGGCATTGTCGTGAGAGTTGTGGTCTTTGCACTGCTCCAGCTGGCCGACATCGTGTTTTACTACAACAGGTCCCGGCGGCAGCAACGCGGCACGCGCGAGGGACCAAAGGGCACAGCTGTGGCGGCGGCTCAAGAAAGAGGTGCTCCGTCGGCATCCAGCGATGATGGTGTCACAGGCATGGCATCCTTGCCAAAGCACTGGCACACCCGGGTCATCGGCGGTGGGCACTGGGGGTGAGCCAAACCGACAGATGTTTGTGGGGAAGGGCGCGAGGTACAGCGTGGAGGACCTCGTGTTCGTGCATGTGTTAGTGTGGTTGGACAAAACCAAAACAAACCTGACCTAAGAAAACCGGTTGGCCAGATTAATCAGTCTATGTGGCATCCAAGTCAGCGCTGAAATGTGGGGCGACGAGAATTTCTGTTAGATGGGGTATAATCTGTTACAAATCTGAAACTTACGAGTAAAAATTGGAATTATAACTCGTAAAAGAAAGAAACAAGATATTCTGCATTATCAAATACTTAGCCTCCCACAGAAGCAACACTCAGAACAGGTACCAGAAGAATAAAGTTTCGCACGGCCTCTCACCACTAGGTATCGAGAAAAGCAAAGGTGCAAAACTTAGTCAAACAAACCCAAGACACGGCCAAGCATACATAAAAAAACTGCTAGTAGCTAGGGTCACGGATAAACACGACCAGTCCAAAATTATACCACTGGTCACCAGTAAGGCCGGTGCAGCCAGATTTTTTTCCAAAACCCGAAGTTGGAGGTTATTGGAATTTTCTCATTTTTGTGGACTAGTTACAAAATGATATAGAGAAGGACTAAATATTGAATTATAGATGAATAGAGATGAAAGTGTAGGTTACACTTCCACAGAAATCAAAATTTCAAATGTAGGACACCAATCCTTTTATTTTCGACCGTATGGTCTTTAAGATGGGTAGAAGATTTTTCACTGGCTAGGAATACAGGCACGAGACTGAGACCAACACGGAAAGAACCAAAGAAAATGAACATTATCGGTATCATAAGATAGAAGAGTGCAAACCTTTTCTGAAGAGCCATGGGTTGGTATCACGTCTGGAAGCTCCTTAATGTGGTTTTGCTCCTTGTCCTCGTGCTTTATAGAGGTAATATCAGATTGTGCTGCCTGCTTGATTTTCTTCTTCTGTTTCTTAGAACCCTCACATTTTTTGTTTGGCACATAAACTGAAGGTCTTGAAAATGCTTCTGTTGGAAAGCCAAGCTCTGCAAGTTCACTTTCAAGGGAAGCCCTAGACTCGAGCTTTGCTAGCTGTTGATCATCAAGCTGATGACCATCCAGTTGTTTAGCCTCGAGCATCTCAATCTGCTGCAGTTTCTTGCGAATTGCCCTGATCTGTTTGGAGACAGCTTGCTCAGCACTGCTTTCTTTCTGAAGGAAGTTACCATAACCTGACATTCCATACAACTTTGATGCAGGCTTCTGACTGTCCCTGAGCCTAGGGAATCCTCCTGCATTATCTCCCTCTGCATCGCTATCAATCACAGCAGGATAAGTAGCTGTCATTGTGGGAAGACGGCGGTGACTCCAGGGCTCCGAGGATTTTTCATCCAGCAATCTCTCTAAATTTGCAAGAATTTCAGGAGAAGCATTCATAATTGAAGGAGCTGCCACTGTGAAGATGTAATCAAGGTTGCGAATAGCTGTATCCTGCATCGCATTGCACAGCAGAGTACCAGAAATCACTATATGAAAATTAATTAGGCATGGACAAAGGATGAATGCATATCAGTATGTGGTAACAACTGTATAATGCATGTGAGCTGCAGCACACCAATGTATTACCTCACAGTGCTTCTTGAGCTCTTTGGCTTCCAAGGAATCAGCAACTTCAAGAAGTTGTATAGCATTCTTTGGCTCCATTATATGCTGAATTGCAACTTTCTCACAGAGGCTCTTCAGACTGGGTATGCCTTTGCTCATTTCACTGTTGGTTACAGATAGATCAGTTTCAGGCTTGACATCAGTAAACAATATGTCTTCATCCAACTCTTCCATCACACCACTCCATTCTGATGAGGGCTTTTTGCTTTGGATTTTGGGTTTGGGTGGATACTCAGGATGGTAAATACTAGAAAGCACAAGCATATGTGTTTCACCAACACAAACTGATGATGCTCGCTTAACACCATTCACTCGAGTAAATACTGGAGTTTCATCCTTACGTTTCTTTGCATCACACATGAAAACATCACCAGTTGATGTAGCCAGTGCAGTCCAGTACTTTCCAGCTGAGATGCTCACTACATTCCGTCCACACATAGAGAATATCTGTGCAGAAACGGTTTAAATATAAGCATGAAACACATAACATAGCTTGAAAGATGACCTTGTGAGATGTAATAACCAAACCTGTTGACATCTTAAGTCCAGATCCGATGAATTCCAGTAAAAAAGAGCACCATCGGCCGTTAGAGCAGTACTGTGCATCACTCCAGCTGCCACAGAGATCACCTGAAGTCGCTCCATACGATGAAACTTCACGTTTGCATTTCCACCCTTCTTAAGACATCTAGCTATTACAACACGGCGAGGGGTCACGAGGCGATGACCCCAAGTGAACACCTGCAAAAGAGGGTGACATCAGCAGGTCTGAGGTCTGTTAATTTTCTTGGTGTTATTCGAACCGATTTTAACTTACCTCACCATCAGCCCCAAACACTAACGTATGATATTTTGCTGCAGATACACCTTTAAAAACTTTTCCTTTCAAATACTCTACCATTCTTGGAATGCAATTGGATGCCGAGTTTGAAGTGCCATAGCCTAGCTGGCCCTCCTTATTGGAACCCCATGTGAACACTTCGCCAGTATCGGCAACTGCTGCTGAGTGCTTGTTTGCAGCGGCTACTGCAATTATCCTTTGCTTGAGTGAACTAACACGCCTTGGTGTTGGTTGGGTATCGACAGAAGGGTAACCAAGCTGACCCTCTGCATCGTCCATAGCATTTTGTTATAGGCCATAAGCACACTGTAAATTTATGTTGCTGGAGACACATACACATTCGCACATACCTCTGTTTGATCCCCAGGTAAACAATTCCCCAGCTGATGTAGCAATCACTGTGTGATGTTTCGCAGCAGCCACAACATTCACCTTTTTACGGCCTAATCCGACTGTCACTAGGCGAGGGGTAATCACAGCTGTCGTCTGGCCACTGCAATAAAATGGTAGTTGTAGCAACACAAAATAAATTTTACCAATAGCATTAGAAATGAGATTTTTAACATCGAAAGGCCCGAGACATTAGTGCTCAACTACTGTTGAAAAATGTTAGCGACTTTACTCTTCATTGGCACATTTGAATATACTAGTAAGGTACATGTGCATTGCATGTGGGAGCTTAGATAACCGAAGTACGAACGAATATCGACATACCACACAACATGTAAGTTTGGAGTCATATATGCATGACGTATAGGATGTAGATTTAATTCTCGTAGTTCATCACATTGGAAATCAAATTATAGCTACAAAATAATCGAAAGACTGCATGGTATATACTACACAAAACTGATGTGAAATATATCCAGCACATTTATTTTTAATCATCTTGTACTGCAGTTTTGAGTAGTTAGTGTTGTATCTTCAAGGCCAAACAGACTTTATGAAGGTGACATGGCCTTGAATTATAAAATCATAAAACAAAATTGAATGGCAATTTGTTTAGAAGAAATCACTTTGGGGAACTAAAGTAAGGAAGGGTCTAAAACAAATGAGAAGTGCTTATAATTTGAAGTGAATCGTAGACCATCAGGTAAAAAGGAATGGTAACTCATTTAGAAGAAAAAAGTTAAGAGGGTTAAAGTATGGAAAATTCTAGAACAAATAAGTGCTTGTGTTTTGAGGTTTGTGCATTCTCTGCAAAGAACTTACCACAAAGTCATGTGGAGATAACCATTTTCAACCTTTCTACAAAAAGTGTTTTATTAGATACTGCATGACTGCTTACCTCTGAATATCCGGATGTCCGAGACGACCACCTCGACCAAATCCCCAAGTGTATAATTCACCATCAGAACTGACTGCTACACTATGGAACTTTGATGCAGCAACAGTTTTGATGTATGACCCATGCAAGGCATCTACTTTGCAAGGTAGTTTTTGTATGTGGGCATTGCCAGTTCCCAGTTGATAGTTTGTTCCACTTCCCCAACTGAAGACTTCCGTTGCAACTAAAATGGAAAAAGGTAAGGAGGATTTGTAAGCGCATACTAAAGAAATTTCCAGAAGGTCATAATCACGCCAGTACCAAAGCACTGAACACAATTAGAGACAAATTAACTGTCTCCCAAAACAGAAGAGAGGCATGCTACCTGAATTGGGAGAATCCCCATTAGCCTGTGATACAGGGCCAGAGAGAAGATCAATAGGTGTACGACCCTTGGTGTCCTCCAAATTGAGGGATGCACCAAACTGTAGAAGAACACCAGCAATGCACAAGTGGCCAAAATGAAGTGCTCTGTGAAGGCTGCTCCAACCGGATTCTCCATCCTGCAAAAATGGAATTTGGTGGGAATTTACAAAAAATAGTGTGATACTTAATAATGGAACAAAATTGCATTTAGCAAGTAAAGAGCAAACAGATTATATACTTCAAATTCACACCAATGTGGGCGTTGAAGGATATGTTTTTCTCAATGAAGAACATATTTTACGATTAGCCTTTGGTATCTGGATACAAGTTTTCCTCTGCCAATGCATATAATTTGTAGAATGCCCAATAGCAACCCAGCAGTTCGATAAATGGAGGCAAGTGCTTTAATGAAAAGGAGACAATAAGAAAATTTATAAATGAAGACAACGGTGGTGCATACCCTTGCATCTGGATTAGCACCAGCATCTAGGAGCCGCCTGACGATTGGAAGGTGATTTCTCCATGTCGCAAGGTGGAGGGCACCAAGGCCAAATGCATTTCTACCATCAATGCTTCCACCGTTCTTTTTTATCAAGGCCAAAGCAGATTCCACTTCAGCTATTGACCCTTGTTTTGAAACAAGACACAAATCCTTCACAGAGCATCCAGTACAAGGTCTGCGCGTGCCAGCTTGCTTCGGTGCGCCTGGCGGAGATACTGAAGGCTCCATGGCACTTCTCAATTACACGAGTATCTATTGGGTTGTTGAGACAAATCAGTACTCAGTCACATCAATATCAGAAAATGACATTTGTTTAGTTTAAAATGTCATGGTACCTAGAAAGGCAGGTCCACTGCTGAACTGCTTGCATGCCACAGGTATTTTCCACAGCAGCAACACTATTTTGGTACCGTTTGACTAATCGGTAGTAAGTTAATCTTAATCCTAAATAAAAAGTCTAGTATCGTTACAGTTTTATCTCTGCAAGGAGAACTGGCAGAAAACTTGGATGATTATCATCTCCACTCTCTAAGACTGCTATCCTAAACTAGCCAAGTAACATAGGACAGCATGGCACTAGATCTTCATCCTGAGTCCAATTATTTTATTAGAGTTCCATGAGGTTAGGATGCTATTCCATGTCCAAATGGGATGCTAGATAAAGAAGCATCCATAGAATAGAGATCAACCTGCATAGTAAAATGAATATAAATTAGTAGAAGGACATAATGCAGAAACTACGACAGTAGATCAGTCAAAATGATAAAACGGGCTAATTAAGATACAAGACGGATTTAAAAATGGCATCGATTAGTAGCAAACAGCCAAAATAATAGTGAGTGAGATTGCTAACTAGCAATTCTAACCAATGTTTGATGAAAAAGAGGCCAGCATCAAAAAGGCATTTGCGTTAAAGTCTAGAGTGCAATAGCAGGACTACTTGGGCATATGCGAACTTATATTTGTATTAGAGAAGTCAGCTGGCCAAAAAAAAACTTGGAAAATATGTAGCTAACACGATATAGAAAATGATCATCACATCATAGTAAAATTACAATCTAGCACATAGATTTCTCAGCCTACAGGTGACCAGGTGGCCATTTTAGAGTTCCTCTGTCATATTTCATATGGTAGAACACTAGAGCTACTTTTTGGCCATCAGCATTTTTCTTAATCAAGTTGCAAACAAATATGTTACCAGGTTGTGTAATGATCTGATTTACCAAGCAATTGGATAGCATCTAATCATCTGATTTACCAAACATAGCAACAGACTGTCCACTATTATGTGGCAGAGAACTTCTGTTTTTCAAGATAAGCATAGAAACCCAAAACTCAAAACTGAGCTTCATACTGAACTAGAAAAGGAAGATGCCAGTTTATATACCTATAAGAGTATATTGATCTAGACTTCAGGTAGTAACAATGATCGAGACAAAAAAATTGTATACACTGCACAAGCAATTAAAAAAAATCTGTCTAACAGCCCGTAAGGTCTAGATTATATTTCAAGTAACTGGTTCGACACAATTAATGTTCGATCATTTTTATGGAAGTAATATTGGAATGACCGGCTAAAATATATAAAACGGTGTAGCAATTGATCAACGGCAGAAAAACAAAACAAAAATGTGATCCGCACAGAAAGGATATTCCAACCACGAGGAACAGCAGATGCTTTTGCATTGCCTAAGGAGAGAGTCAAGCAAAACTAACAGGAAACACATAAGAGAAACATATAACATTAACTGCACCAAACGAAGCGGAAGCCATCAAACTTTTCCCAAAAATACGTGATTTATTAGAGAGCTAGACGGGAATTCTCACTGGAAACAAATCAACAGCAATTACACCCGTACAAATCTAAAATGAAATCCATCCTTTCGTACAGAAACAATAGGAGTAACCGATCAAAAACCAAGCATTACCCGCTGCAAATACTGGCGCACAAGTCGGATCAAACAACCGGAGCGGAACGGCATTGCGCCGAGCAACCGCCGGGGGCATCCTTGTCTACACCCAACAACCGGATCTACGACCAGACGAAATCGCGCATAGCACCACAGAAACGAGATCCAACCCATGCCTCATACACGAGAATCCAGTGAGGGAGAATGAAAACGGAAGAATCCACAACTGACCTTGGATTGGATTGGATTGGACTCCCCGTCAAGAACACATGCTGTCCTATGTCCTCTCTCTCTCTCTCTCTCTCTCTCTCTCCCCGGGAGGGCTGCGTTTATGTGGGAGGGAGGGAGGGAGGGGATCCCGGCGTGGAATATGCTCCGGTTAGTTCGGGCGCAGGAGGGGGAGGAACCGCCCTCTCTCGTTTCTCTCTCTTTGGTTTCCTGGCGTGCGTGGTCTCTCTCTCTCTGAGGTGGGGAGAGAGAGCGATGAGATAAAATACGTGGTGATCTCACGAGAAAAAGTGAGCCGTGAACGAGTTTGCCAGTTTTTAGAGCATTTTAGCAGACTTTTAAATCGCTGACCCGTAAAATAACCTCCGGTTTACGGTTTTGAGCGAAAAAATGACCCGAACAGAAATCTTAATTAGGTTTGACCTGTAAAAAAATTAAGGGACGTGGTAAAATCCCTCCCTCTGACCCGCGAAAACACAGCCCCCGTTGACGCCATGTATCCCGCGAAAGCGGTTGGTGGGGAGGGACATTCCAGTGCGCGTGCTCCCCACATCTCTTCCCGCAACCGCCTGCCATCGTCGCCGCCACCCATCGCCTGCGATTCCGGCCATTCCCGCCAGTGGAATCGTGCCGCCCGCCCCGGATCCGAAGAACCGAGCCACTGCAACATCACCGCTGCCCCGGATCAACCGCCTCGAGCCGCCGCCCTCCTCAGATTCGCCGAGCCGCCGCCGATCGTTCCCCTCCCCGGATTCACCGAGCCACCATCGATCGCCGCCGCCCCGGTGAGCCCCTTTCCTTCCCCTTGTAGCTTGGCCGCAAAATTTTCGTTGATGCGAGTTTCGATGCAGTTTTTTAGATGGATTTGAGCCCGTGCGAGCAATTTTTGCTCCAGGATTCGTCCTCGTCCGACGACTCAGGTGTGGAATCAATGCTCGAGCGCCATTGTCAGCAGATGGTCGTGGCGATTTGATAACCCACAAGTATCGGGAATTGTTTGTAGCCTTCTTCGATAAATAAGAATGTCGAACCCAACGAGGAGCTAAAGGTAGAACAAATATTCCCTCAAGTTCTATCGACCACCTATACAATTTTATGTACACTTGACGTTTGCTTTAGCCAGAACAAGTATGAAACTATTTTGCAAGAATAAAACTATGAGTACTTTGCGAGAATAAAACTATGAATAAATTGCAATGTAATAAAAGTGGATAGCTTTTGTCAACAAGAAAGTCATTTGTCCCTGGGCAATCGATAACAAGTACCGATAATCATTCTTGCAATTTACATTAGGGAGAGGCGTGAGCTAGCATACTTTCTCTACTCAGATCATATGCACTTATGATTGGACCCTTAGCAAGCATCCGCAACTACTAAAAATAATTAAGGTCGTGAAACCCAACCATATCATTAAGTATCAAGTCCGCTTTACTCTCATACGCAATAACCTACCTATCCGCGTTTAGGCTGCTATCACCCTGCAACACCGACAATAAGCAAATCATGAACATATACAACGGGGGCCCCTCCATTTGCGCGACACGGAGGGCACTATAGGACAACACCATAAATAAAATATACAATCATACCAACCAAGATCATGATTAACCCATAGGACAAAAACAGATCTACTCAAACATCATAGGATAACCATAGATCATTGGGAAATAATATATGGAGTTGAGCATCATGTTTAAGTAGATATTACAACAGGGAGAAGGGGTGTTACACCGCTGCATAGAGGGGAGAAAGTTGGTGTTGACAGAAGCAAAATTGTTGATGTAGATCACCGTCATGACCCTTGCCCCGACGGCACTCCGGCGCCACTGGGAGAGAGGGGGAGAGATCCCCCCTCCTTCTTCTTCTTCCTTGGCCTCCCCCTAGATGGGAGGAGAGTTTCCCCTCTGGTCCATGGCCTCCATGGCGGTGGAGGGGTCGGAGCCCCTCCGAGATTGGATCCCTTTCTCTGTTCTCTTCTGTTTCGTGTTCCCCAAATCTGGCCCTTCACGGTTTCTTATTTCCCAGAGATCCGTAACTCCGATTGCGCTGAAATTTTTACATGATTTTTTCCATTATTTATCTTTCTTGCACCAGAAGAAGGACCCCAACCGACTTTCAAGGAGGGCATAAGACACCTGGGCACGCCAGGTGGTGCCCGGCGCGCCCTGGTGGGTTGTGGTCACTGTGGGCCCCCGTTTGCGTTGATTCCAAGTCCCAAAGATCACATATATTCCAAAATAATTCTTCATAAATTTTTATCGCGTTTGGACTTCGTTTGACATGGATTTCTGCGAAGCAAAAAATATGCAACAAACAGGAACTGGCATTGGGCACTGGATCAATAGGTTAGTCCAATAAATCATATAAAATGTTGCCAAAAATATGTGAAAGTTGTATAATATTGGCATGGAATAATAAAAATTATAGATACAACGGACCCAAGCTTAATACCTACTCGTCCTCGAGTAGGTAAATGATAAAAAAGATAATTTTTGATGTGGAATGCTACCTAGCATAAACTTGATCATATGTCTAGTCATGGCATGAATATTAAGACATAAGTGATTCAAAGCAACAATCTATAATTTGACATAAAGACATCAATACCCAGACATCCCAACAAACAATCATGTCTTTCAAAATATCAACGCTAAATAAAGCTATCCCTACAAAATGATATAGTCTTGTCATGCTCTGTCTTCTTAACACAAAGTATTTATTATGCACAACCCCGAGGACAAGCCGAACAATTGGTTCATACTTTTTAACGCGCTTCAGCTTTTTCAACCCTCGCGCAATACATGAGCGCAAGCCATGGACATAGCACTATGGGTGGAATAGATTATGTTGATAGGGGTAAATATAAAGAAGACAAAAAGGTAAGAAAGTCTCACATCGACGCGGTTAACCAACGGGCTATGGAGATGCCCATCAATTGATATCAATGCGAGGAGTAGGGATTGCCATGTAACGAATGCACCAAGTGCTATAAGTGTATGAAAGCTCAATATGAAAACTGAGTGGGTGTGCATCTAATCCTATAATGAAATTTCCCACTAGTATACGAAAGTGACAACATAGGATACTCTC